ATATACTTTGTCCTAAAGGAGATAATATGATAATGTCACTTGTTTGGCCCCTTGAATTCAAAAAATCAAAAAGTATTATAAATCTACCAAATTATATCCTTCAAATGTTCAGTAGATGTCAGACATCAGTATAATTATTTTTAGATTTTGACATGCATTCTTGCATTATGATTTCAAACTTTGAATTTAGTGCAAAACTGCATCAACTCCCAAAATAGCCACATTTTGAGATTTTGTCATGAATGTAATGATTTAAGCAACAGCTTTACTTGAAAAGATAATAATTTTACACAAGATGTATCGCACACAGATGTTAATGTGTGCCTTTTGTAGCTTACAAAGTGGTATGGTTTTGCTCATTGTTTACGGCCGTACGGCGACCTATAGTAGTTATCTTTTATCTTATTTAGTCTCTGGTGGAGAGTTGTCTCATGTAAAATGGCATCATTAGTCATCTTTCTGCACTATAATGGCTAGATTATATTAATCTGTCCTTTTATCAATAATCAAATTACACTAAAGATGCATAAGTTCCAAAAGCGTTGATTGGCCGAGGCATTCCAAGAATTGAATTCTTTTTGTAATTTTATAGGGTTGTAAAAGCGTTGAACATCCACACATGTGTAGAATGGAAGATTTTCGTGCCGTATACAAAATGTGCTTTGGTCAATGCTTTTACACTCCAATAAATTTACAAAAAGAAGTATTCAATTCTTAAATAAAATTAACATAACTCTAAAAGGCTTCATTATTTATTTATTTTTTTTTTTTTGCAATAAAAGAGACATACAGAATATGGCGTGGTTTAACATGTGTATGAGCGCTCAATTCTTCCTTAACCTTGGACAGTGGTGTAACAGCGCAACATAAGAATAAACTGTAAAAATTAAGTTGCAATTGGCTTGTTTCATAGAACGATAACTTTATTTTTGGCATGATGATGGTTCAACGAAAAGAAAAGCCAAAAGCACAGGCGATTGAGGTTCATGTGTATGCACTCCTTTTTTTTGGGAGGGGGGGGAGGGTGTCTTTGATAGAGGCATAGGTTCAAAATCTAAAATTGGTCTTGAAATTTAAAGTTGAAGATGGCGTACGTACAATGTAATATATTGTGTCACAGTTTTACAAATTCCCATGTCATCAAAATACTTTTTTAGCACGGTATGTAGCTGTTGACTGCATTTTAATAAGAATTGCAAAAGGGTAAATTCAATTTCTCCAGTACCTGCTTCACTCACGAGGTCTAAAATTTGTTTTTATATATCTTTATTTCACTTGAAACTTAATATCAAAGAGACTTTATCATATATTTGAAGAAAAAAAATTTAATTTTACACGTGCAAATAAACTCATCTTAGATACCAGGATTGAATTTTTATATTTGCGCCAGACGCGCGTTTCGTCTACAAAAGACTCATCAATGACGCTCGAATCAAAAAATTGTTAAAAGGGCCAAACAAAGTACAAAGTTGAAGAGCATTGAGGACCAAAAATTCCTAAAAGTTTTGCCAAATACAGCTAAGGTAATCTATTCCTGAGGTAGACAAGCCTTAGTATTTCAAATATTCAAAGTTTTGTAAACAGCTAATTTATAATTATGACCATATCAATGATAATTCATGTCAACACAGAAGTGCTGACTACTGGGCTGGTGATCAATACACTCAAAATGCTTTTCAGCGTTACATGTTACTGTTGAAGACATATTGATACAAATTTGCAAATTTTAAATGCTTTTGTCAAATTTTGTATCGAAGGACATCGATAACCAAAATGGATTACTTAGTGTCCGAAAGACACTGCATAGCTTAAAATATTGAAAACAACACGTTTAATAATTTCATGCGTTCGAAGCGCTTTTCTGGATTTACCTTCATCAGGAACGCTCAAAGCCAAACATTTGAAATCCGAGGGATGTATAAGTACCGAAACAGTTGAAGAGCTATATGACAAAAATACATAAAACAAAAAGCCAAATTCATCTAAGGTCAACTTTGCCTGTGGGAGTTGAAACCTTAACTTTCAACATAATTTTGGTTTTGGTTAACGATGACTTATTGTACCGTTTGTAAATAAATACTAATCAAAGTACTGGCGTACTGTTTACTCGGATGAACCCAATTTCCTCAAAGATTCTGAAAAAAATACTTAAATTGCAAAACTTAACATCTAAAAATTCACAAACATTCTAATAATGCACTGTCCTGTTTAATAAAAAAAAAAAGATTTAAAAAAAAATGATTGACTGTAATAAAACAAACACAATTTTCTTTATCTGCTGAAATACAAAAAAATAATGACCAAATATTATGCAAAAATCATTTAAGGATGTTCGCTACTCTGTTTCAAAATAGCAAGCTTTTAAAAAGACTGTTATAAATTGATAGTAAATAGAAGTAAAAAAATCGAGAAAAAAATCAAAGGTCTGTGTCCTTATTTTTTAGATAAAAGTTATTAAAAATTTGGCGGGAAATGAATCCCTCTATTTTTTCCTACATTTAACATTGTTACCTTTTTTCTTTCAAAAACTATGGGGAAAAAAAGGATTTTATAAGATTTTGATAAATAGCTTTTATAACTATATGTATTAAAAATGTGAAAAGTAGGGATAAACGGTCAAACTTTTTAATGGCACTACATGGATAAAACCAGAGGATTCCGAATATCTGACAAAAAAATCAAAAACAAGAGCAATGAACATCCTTATACATGTTCAACAAGAACTAATGTGATAAATTAAATTCAGTATTTGAATCAAAATATAGTAATCATAGCTCAAGGCACACAATGAATAGCCCATCAACAAGCTTTTCCTACACAAACACCTCTGATATCAGATCGAGTTTTAATTCAGTACTCTCAACATGTATTGAGCCTTGACTATGTCGTATATATTTGTTAAATCAGTTTGACCTTTGACTCATTAAGGTTTGACTGAAATGATATTGATGTATTTACTGTCAGATTATGGTAAAGATTCCAGTACTTCTGTTCATCAATTTGCCGGGCATTTTTACCTATTTCTTCATTTGTCTAGAACGGAAGGTTAACCTTCCGGAGCACCTCAGATCACCCCAAATTTTTGTGAGGATCGTGTTGCTCATTCTTTAGTTTTCTATGTTGTGTTTTGTATACTATTGGTTGTCTTTTTGTTTTTCGGTGTTTGGCCTAGGCATTATCAGTTCGTTTTTGACTTATGAGTTTGGTATCTTTCGCCTCTGTTTGTAGAAAATATTACTTTAGTTTTCTATGTTGTGTCATCTGTACTATTATTTGTCTGTTTGTCTTTTTATTTTTGGCCATGGCGTTGTCAGTTTGTTTTTGATCTATGAGTTTGACTGTCCCTCTGGTATCTTTCGTACCTCTTTTAAATCTCACATTCGAAAATACCAATATGTGTATTTATATTATACAATTTCATACAAATAACAAATAACTGAAAGAAAATCTTACCTTTTATCTGGCTATAAGTGGTCCGTCGTTGCTGTACTGGATATTAGATACAATCGAATCCAAGCATTTCTTGTGAGCTCGAGGGTAGTTAAGACATAGTGATAAAGTGATCCATAAATAGCAATCAACTTATTCTTGCCTTCTTTTTCAAACAAATCAATATTCAAATTTGTATGCTTAGATGTTTTAGCTGCAATATAAATTTAAGTAATCGTATTTTACCGATGTTCAAATCTCGTGAAACTATTTAGAATGTACTAATCACGATAGAAACAAAAACTCCAAACGGAGAGACATGGTGCTACCACATGTTAGGCGTCTCCTGTGTAATGTACCACCCTCTATGCTAGTTAACAATCAGTAATAGTAATAAGCGACGCATCGGTACATTTACAAATCAGATTACTATACTGGTACCTGAGATATAACACCGAGAAAAAATACATAAAATATACGAAATATACATCTGCATTTGCTGCTTTTTTCTCTATACCCCATAAGATTGACCAACACTATCATTAGTATAACCAAATATGATTTAAAGTTTTATCACAAGTTACACAGAAAATAAGATCTATCTTGTTTACTCTGTGCGGTTCGTGTTGATCAGTCTTTAGTTTTCTTTGTTGTGTTTTGTAGACTGCTGTTTGTCTTTTTGTGCATTGGCGTTGTCTGTTTGTCTTGAATATATTCCTTTGGAATCTTTCGCCTCCCTCTAAAATTTCATTCAGGATTTCATATCATATAATGACCAAATCAATATCTGATATTACAAAACAGATACATGTTTACGTTTTATAAGGATGCGGGAACAATAAGTGTATTGCTATTTTGTGTTTTAAACTTCCTAGGGTATATATGGATATATAAAAGTCTAGGTACGAAGGAATGCATTTTTTTTTTGCATTCACATAGTTTTGGAGCAGATCATACTTGAATATTTTAATAGTTCAAAAAAGTCCATTATCTATACTTGTATATAATAACTAAAAGTATAGGCCTGATCTCTTTTGATCATCTTTGTTACATTCTGTTAGATATGATGATAGAAATAAAAAAACTGCAAGGAGTAGTGCACTTATGGTGCCTTTTTTTATCGTCACAAAATATGAGTCAGAAAATAAGATATAATAAGTTTTAAGTTCTGCATCTGAGAATTGAAAGTTTCCGTTTTTCTGCACGACGGTGCTAACTTTTGACAAACTAAGTTAACGTTGAGAATTAAATTATTGTAAGATCTAGACCTAATGTTTTTTTTCGTTTCTTTTTGTGTTTTATCTTTTTGTTTATCATGATAGATCTTTCATATCAATATTTGCTTGTTTTCAACTTGATGTGTTCTTGATTAATGTTTTCGTTAAAATATTAAAAACGAGTGAAAAAGTTTTGCGTAGCTCATCTCATATGAATAAGCAGAAGATTCAGCTTTAGACATTTTTAATAAAAATTGTACGAATAGTGGTGTCAATATTTCTAAGAATTGAAAAATAATTTATGTTCGATGTGTTATTTATAATCACACTTCAGTGTGCCTTCCTCCGGAAATCAGCGAGTTGACGTGTATATGAGAATAATTTCTCACCAATATAAACAAATCCTAAAAAAACGAGAAGAGTCGGATATATATTGCATAGTAGTAGGATTTCTCCACTGTAGTGAGCACTGTAGTGACTTGTGTGTGACTTGAGACTTCAATATAGGTAAGTACATGTAACACATTAGATGCTGCACGTTTTTTTTTAACCTTGATACTTTCATTTATTGTTAAGGAAGTGAGAAGGTGTTGACATTTTGTTTTAAATGATGCACATTGCAAAAACAATATATCGGTTTATTTTGGTTTTATAGTGATAAATCTCAAGACTGGTATGCCAATGCAGTCAACATATCCCTTATTCAATCCTAGTAACCAACAAAAAACGTCTATTATTACATTAGAAATTGAGTAGTTGATATTGAATAAATACAAAATAAAATCCAGCTTGTCATTATTCAGTATTTGGTACATGTATTATCATCACTAGGATTTAATTTTTGTACAGCCAAATAAATCAATGAATGATTGGTTTTTCAAGGAGAAATTTAATGTTCCCGTTAAATGAACCCCCATAGAGAAAAAATAGCTAATTGTATTTATTCAACGGAAGCCTTCAACTGGTAAACTCCAACTGATTCTGGGGGAAGGTTTTGTTTCCTTCGCAAAGAATATTGTGTGGCCTCACGTAAACCAGTAAAGAGTAGAGTTTTATTCCAACTGAAATAGGTTCCATTTGTAAAATTGGGACTTTAAAAGAAATATTCTCTAGATATGAAAAAGTTACCGATCAATCAACCTTCTTAACATAAGTTTCTCGTCGTATTTTGTTAGTTTATATATCCCAACGAAATAGAAATAAAGGATACCAAAGATACAGTTAAGTCTGCGTCATATCTTGAATTGCATCTAGAAATTGATAATGAGGGTCGGTTGAAAATCTACTTGACGACAAAATGAAAACATTTCAGCTTTCCAATTGTGAGCTTTCTATATCTATGTTAAAGCATGCCAGCATCGCCTGCATATGGAGTATATATCTTCTAGTTGATACGATATTGCAGGGCTTTCGTTTCCTCAACATAATTTCCTTGATAGAAGGTTGCTTTTTACAAGAAAACTATTTAATCAAGGGTTAAGCAAGTGATCCCTTCGAAAGTTTTACGGACGCCATCACGAGCTGGTTTTGAAATATCTGTGCTACAGATGACTACGGATATGTTCCAATTGTCCCAACCAAAAACCTGTCCTCTTTTTCTCGACTGTGATATCACCAAGTGTTAACTTACCTGTATACCTTTCGGAGCACATGTGATACTCCCCAGTTTTGATGCTCAGTCATTAGTTTTCTGTGTAGTGTTTTGTGGAGATAATTGTTTTTTCGTCGTTTTTCGATGTTTTGCCATGACGTTGTGAGTTTATATTTAATTTATGAGTTTTGAAAGTGCCCTTTGTATCTTCCGCCTATTTTTAATTCATGTACTATCTAAATACATTATCCATGTGCATAACATGGTTTTCATCACTAAAACTACTTAAGAGAAAATGATACACAAAATACAATTTTCTTTGTATTACAATAAAGTAAATAAGCATTCAACTGCAAATGAACATAGGACTGGTTTATCTTCACGAAAAGTAAAAGAATGAATGATTGGAACAATCTTATTTCTGCAGGATCAGTTAAACTTGTAATACATTGTACTAGTAACGCAATTAAATAGTACAGGATTAAGGTACTTGAAGAATTTTAAGTGTATAAGATAATTAATATAAGGTCAAACTTGACATCGTTACGTAATCTGTGTCAGATTAAGACGTGTAGCAGGTAACTAACTCATTTGAGATGTGTAGAAAAATAGACATTCTATTAACATGGTAAAAGTAACTTGATCTCAAATGTTATCATTTCTATTACATATTAAATGAATATAATGAATTATATTTTACAAGGAAGCAAAAATAATTATTATCGACTTCAAAAAGTTTCAACAAGACATACCAAGGCAATGTTAAGTGTCATCTTTAACCTTGGTTACAAGGGTTAAATGTTTAGCAAGATATGTAAATAAGAAAAGTATACTAGACAACGGTCACGAGTTATAAAACATGCTATAAAACATCTAGTCATATATATTTTATTCAAAACCGTTCTTTTCATCAACGATTTTTACGACAAAATATTTATGAAGCTGACTTTTATTCAGAAGTATTCTTCGACAAAGGAACAGTTCTAAGACAAATACACGATAAAAGTTTCGATATTTGTGTTAAAATTTCTTTAAATGAGTATAACAACTAACTGAATAACTACATAACAGATATACAGTGTACTTTAGTCTGAGAAAACAGTATTTATTTGTTAGTCGTTATTGACTTTAAACTAGCTTTTAGTCACTGTGAGTACTCTAATTTCGATGCGTTTTGTCTATTGTTTTTATGTTAGTTGTTTTTGTGCCTCGTACCCATCTTTTGAGTTAAGCCAATTGGAACTAATTTTTACAGTTTGTTCTGATGTTGTGTTGCTGCAGCAATGTCCCAGGTCAGGGGATGGTTGATCCCTCGCAAACATTTTAACCCCGCCACATTCTTTATATGCCTGTCCAAAGTCAGGAACCTGTCATACAGTGGTTGTTGTTGGTTCAGGTCTCTCATATTTGTTTTTCGTAAATTGTTTTGTTATAAATTAGGCCGTCAGTTTTTTCGTATAAATTGTTTCACATTTTTCATGTCGGTGCCTTTAATAGCCGAGTATGAGTTTTTCGCATTGTTGTAGGTCGTACTGTGGCCTACAAATGCTAACTACCACTTCATTTTAACTGTGGTGGATAGTTGTCTCATTGCCAATAATAACACATCTTCTCATTTTTACATAAACGAAAACACGGTACACAGATCGAAAATTTCTGTAAATTGCGACTGTTAACTAAATAGAAACGGAATACTTGGAAAGAACTTGAGGAACACATAATATTATAATGTATTCAACCAGCTGGTTTTAAACGTGCGACATTTTTATCAATCATATTCAATGTATATGTGTAGGACTCGGAGGTGCGATGGGGACAAAGAAGTGCGATGGTCACTCTGAAGTGCGATGGTCTTCGCCAAAGTGTGATTGTCTCCGCCGAAGTGTGATGGTCTTTGCCAAAGTGTGATGGCCCTATCTCTGATGTTTGATGGACTATATGACTATTTTAAAATCTACCGATGTCCATTTTCTTTAGAAGTTGATTTTTTTTTATTAGTTAGTCTATAAATTTGCATTGATTATTGTCCATAAAACACTTATGGCATTTTGGTATGCATGATATGTATGTTTATGGTTGAAATAAAAGAATCATTCCTGTAATAAGCCTGCTTACCATACAAATTAGGATTACTAGTATGTGATAATCCTATATACTGTTTGAATATAATCTGTTAGCACCTTGCTAATATTATGGTTTCATCTACACCTTTAAATGTTTATCTATTCAAACAGTGTTTGCATCATTCTAAATATATGAAAATATCGTATAAATGTGTGTCCTCAATTGCAGTTCCATACTAAATGAGAGATCGTTCTATTTAATTTTGCTGCATACTCTCGATGATTAACTTAAAAACTTGAAAGCTGATTCTAACAAAACAATTGACTGCTACGTTGACATGTTAACATGTAAAACATTGAAATATATAGTTTATGTTATCCATCGTACTTCAGAGTTACCACGAACGCACTTCCGCGTAGCTATAGACATTATAGCGTCACAATGCCACCATCGCACTTCGGCGTGATCAAAATCGCACTTCAGCGTCAAATCATCGTACTTAAGGGTGACCATCGCGATTCGGAGTACCATCACGTTTGAGAGTCATACATATGTTTGAATTAATAGGCCTTCCAATACAGTTATTTTAGAAACCCTGATTTAAATCTATTTTATTTGGTATGAGTTATGCCCCATTCCAGTAAGAAATACTTGTTTGTTGCGATTCTAGCTTGGGTAATAACGTTGATATTAAACTGTGGATTAGTAATGATCAGTTTTATATACAATTATTCTCAACTTAATAAGCAGTAGTCGGGTTTAGTTACAAATATGAGGACAATAAAGATACCTTCAGTAGTTAAAACATGTATATAAATAAAATATTAAATGAGAACTATTGATTGCTCTTCACTGCAGCAAACCAGACTTCCTTCATATGGAGTGAAATTATAATTTTAGCTTTCAAATTCACGCTTTCGAAAGCGCATCAACTTATTGGGTAGACCTGGTTTAAGGGGGATAAAACTTTAAATTAGAATAGCATTAATGCCTTCAAGCATTCTTAGAAATGGAATTAAAATTTTGTGTTTATACTAAGAAGCTCAATACATATTTATGAGAATGGTTGACATAGATATATCAATTATTTTAAGAGAAGTGTCTTTTAAATTCTCTCTTTTTAAACAGCCATAATTGGAAACTAACCAACCGACAAAATTATAACACATTTTTCTAATAGTTTAATTTTGGATGTAACACGTCTTTTGATAGGCTGAAAGTTTTTTGTCTATCAGCTCATTTTACATGTGACCGTGACGTCAACAACGTTTTTTTCATGATTAACTCCTAAAAAATGGAATTTAGAATTAAATTATAAGGAATGACTGTAATATTTTTTTCTGTTTATTCGAAATAATCTCTAAAATGTGGTGCACACGTTTTTGAGGTTATTTCTTCATAGACAGAAAAAAATATTACAGTCATTCCGTAATTAATCAAAATTGTATTTTACCGAATTTTAATAACACGCTAGAATAAGTAGATAAATTTTACTATTATCATTATTATTATTTGCAGGTAAAAATGCCAGGAGAACAGCTGACTTGTGTTTGGCAAGCTATATATGCTCAAGACCGACCCAACAGTGTAACCATGAATAAAGAAGTATTGAAATTGTTTCTGACGAAAGCGTCTCAATATGAATCAATTCAATTTTCTGAGCGCAAATTTTTCGACACGTTTTCAGAGGCGACTGTAAAATTCGATGATTTCAAAGAGTATGTAAAAAAAAATATTCGGGAACACGGTGTTGCTTTTTCGACAACTTGCAATGATTTGGAGGAAATGAGTTGGATCGACCTTAAATCTGGAATGAATAGTAAACTTGAGACAGAAGACGTTTACAAACTATGGCGCATTTCTAATCGTCTGATGAAGGAAGACACTTACCCACCTGTGATATTCCGCGAGGAGGCAAGTTGGCTTTTAGGGAAAGTGCTGTCTAATCTAGGACATAATTTCAAATCTTCAGATGATGCCTTTAGAGAAGATAAATTTACTTTCCAAGAAATGTTATCCATTATGGAGGATTTTGCCTTTTCCAACACGTCACAGCAACAGATAAACACGTGTATCGATGGTCTCTTCATGTGGTTGGTTGTAGAGGTTATGAAAAAAGGCAAGGTTTACAAACGTACTAAGAAGCAGGCAAATTGGACAAACTGGGTAAAACGTTGGTGTGTTTTGACACCTCATTGTCTTCGATACTATAGTAATGACAATGAGTCCAACCAAAAAGGCGAATTTACGTTCACCAAACATACTAAAGTAGAAAGCCTTGAAAGGTACAGTGGTGTAATGAAAAATCTTAAAGGCAGGTTTAGGCTCGCGAATATCCCAGTGCTAGAAATGGAGATCGCCGTCGACGACGAAAATGAGAAACGGGCCTGGTTATCTGACTTAGAGGAAATAATTCAGTGCTTGAGAGATAAGACAACGCCTGTTCAAAAACTCCTTAAGGAAAGGCATTTGAAGAATATGGCAACAAGGGATAATAAAAATGGAACAATTGAACAAGTAGAGGATATCGAATCAGCTCTTAATAAAACAAAGCTTCGAGCTGAGAAACAGTCTAAAAAGCAATTGTTCGACACCTCTATCAAGGTAGTGGAACCAGAAGAGAAGACAAAACCAAAAGGTCCCTCCTTGGAAAAAGAAAGTACAGAAAAGATAAAAGCAATGTTTATGAAAATTGACACGAATGGAAACGGCATGTTGGATAAGAATGAATTTGCAGACTTCTTAAAAGGCCTTGGGTTAAACATGTCGGAAAAAGAAAGCAATCTAGTTTTTAATTCTGTAGATACAAATAAGAGTGAACAGATTTCCTTTGAGGAATTCCAAATCTACTTTTGTAATCACATCATGAATGAAACTGAAACTGCAGAATGCGTCAATGTAATGAGAAAGGCATTTTTGGAGGCTGATCGTGATGGGTCAGGAACTTTGAACTTCCGGGAATTTACGGAATATGTTTGGGAAAAGAACAGAAACGCAAATATGACAAAAATTTTGAAGTCGTTTGCTAACGTTTCGACTGACGAAATCTCGTTTGAAGATTTTGAATTGTTGGTTTCGGGCAGTGGAGCAGAGGTCCTTGTGCCAATATTAGAAGAGGAAATAGAACAAGGTACTGATTCATCTCTAGATGATTTTGAAGGCCGCCTTCAGAAAGTGTATGATGACACAGAAGCAGATGAACTTACTATCTATATTAGAGAGCGATGGAATAAATTTGCTTCATTCCGAAGGGCTGGAAAGACAGGTTCTGTTGTTATGACCGGTGGACACGGAATGGTAGCAGATATTGTTCCAGGAGAGTATAGCTTGATTGACCTTGCTTGTTTCAGTGACCTGCCTCCATTGGAACCAAAGCATGCGGTCGTAAAAGACACACAATGGTTATCCAGTACAATATCCGGAAAATCAGGAAAGATGATATTTCCACTTGAATTTGACAAGAAAGTACCAATGGAACAGGCCACATCAGAACTTTTGCGGTATTATGGCTGCAGTTTTGCTGATAGTCAGCAAGAACAAATATCGTTGCTCTTCCGCCACGGAATCCAGGATTTCACTTATGAAAACGGATACTTGGAAAAGTATGTAACGGCTACAAATGGTGGGGCAGGGATTGAAAAACATGATTTTTCACACTTAGATTGTCCCTTGTCAGAAGATTCGGGCTTTTTCATTCTTGCAAAATTCATAGACAACGGCGACTTCCACATAACAGCCTTCCGACTTCCTGTACGTCATACACTGTATGTACCCGGAGGAGTAATTCATTGTAACGACTACCTCAAAGGGACATGGAGAACAATGCTGTCAGATGAAACAGACATTGATCACGTGCATCTCACACACGTCGTAAAAGAAGGACAAGAAGAAAAGTTTAGATTCCAGTTTACCTAACTGCATATTCCGATCAAATCACTTTGATTTTGAAATGTTTACAATCCGTTTATCAAATTCATTTCATTAAAGTGGATGTGGGTTGCTTTAGGTAATTTTGTAAATAGTAGATTTTGATATTGCTTTAGAAATACTAGTAGTAAGTTCACAATGACACGTTCAAATTGAACGAAATATGTCTCTAAAGAATCCTCCAATGAAATGATTCCCTTTCCGTCTTATATGATTGCTGAAAATATTTGCTTTCCAATATGCAGGAAATGTGATATGATATAGGGTTTGCTTCTCTTCTAACAATTGTAACTATTCATTTGCGTTGAAGTTACAGCAATATACAATTAATACTGTTATAGAGTTTTTGATGAAATGGTTGACATATGTATTATTGTGCAAATATTCATAAACCTTAACTAATGTAGTATTCAGGAAAAATGAGATTGCAAACAGGTACTTTGTGTCTTCATTGGACAATTAACCAATGTACTCTAACAACACGCATCAATGTGTACTCATTCTATTATCTGTCATCTACTATAAATGTTTAAAATGCCTCTGTAGCGAACTGTTATTTCTATAAATGTTGTTAAGGATGTATTCTTCTGACTTTTCAGTCTCGTTGAAATCCCGTTCTGGAATTATTTCCAAAACTTGTGATACAAAAAAAGTAAAATCACAAAAATACTGAACTCCGAGGAAAATTCAAAAAGGAAAGTCCCCAATCAAATGGCAAAATCAAGTATTACAAGTGGAAAATATCAATGAATTTAAAAAATATTATAATCAAACGTAACTCTGTGAAAAAATCGTGTATTTATAATAAGTAGTTTTTGAGTAATAAAATTTTCAAATTTTATAAACCAATCAAGTCAGTCTCAATAGCCAAAATTTTGAGAAAATGGGTGATGGGTACAAGAAATGATTTTAACAGAAACATGTACATCCCATGTCATTTTTTTCTTTTCAGATTTCTTAGATATGTATTTTGTCAATCATTCATAACAAAGAAGTTTAAATGATATGCTTTAAAAAGTTTTTGTTCTGAAAAAAGAGAAAAATCCCAAATTTAAAAAAATTGACAGCATGGTAAATTTGACACAAAAAAAGCAACAATATTTTATAAAACTTTCTTATATTAACACCTACATATAGGTTTTAAAGTTAAATTTATTCAGATTGGTCCACTTCATCTTTGGTGAAAGTATGAAAAAAAGTTTAATTGTGAGACTGTGATTTTTTTCATGATAATAGCCCAAAAATGGGTAAAAATTGATGAAAAATGGGAAAATCATCAAAATTGGGTACTTTCAAATGGCCGTAGCAAAAAAAGAAGTGCACCACCATATGATTTTTTCTTCACCAATTATTTTTTTACAGTCATATAAACCCATAAATCAGGTTAAGACAAAAAGTTTAATTCTTGAAATTTTTGGCTCCTCAGAGGTGTACATCCTTAAACAACCGTCACGTCTTCCACAATTCTTAGATAAAGGATGATATGAAAATAACGAGATGTGATATAGATGCCAATGTGACAACTATCTATCAAAGTTCAAATGAAGTGGATGTAAGCAATCGTAGCGACCGTACGGCCTTCAACAATAAGAAAAACCCATACCGATATTTTTCTTCTAATAGATCCGCATTTGTAGATCACCTTTGTTTCAAAAGAATATTTTAAATATGAAAGAACATAAATATTATGAATATGCTGTACAGTTTAAACTTTAATCGTCTCAAAAAATTTAGTTGTTTTGTGGCTTTTTCCATTATAAAATTAATTTAGGTAGCCCACTTACAGTAAGAACTTATTATAAGTAAACGCCCGGATTTAACGTACGAGGAAGAGGAAGATAGGCAAATGTACCAGATAAACGAAGATATATATACGAGTTTGGTGTGCATGAGATACCTTTTCCGTTTCTACAAATGAACATACCATAATTTAAGAATTTATTCAAAACGTTTTAATAGTTTATGTTAGAAATTTCTTTTGTATTTATTATTGAGTAAGGTTGGTCGTTGAGTGTGTGTTAGAATGTTATTTAGCATTCCAGTAAATTTTCGAATTTGTCAAAAAAAATCGACTCAATATTTGAATCAAGGTTATGTTCCGATTCGTATTCGAGTTCTGGAAAGGACGACATTTCTAATGTTTTCTATAAAAAGTTTCTCAATGGAATGATTCAAATTCTACTCTGACAACAATGATGGTTGATTTAGATTTTTTTTTTGTATTTAATGTCCCTTTATCCTTAACGGAGCAATTAACGGAAACTTGCTTTGTGAATACGAATTAAAATTAACGGAAACTTAACAGAGATATAAACGGGTTCGTGAGTTAATGGATGCTTCGTGAAGAAGCTCCCAGGTAGATAATTTGATATTACCATGCATTCACCTAGAGAGTGGCTATGTAATATACCTCTCAAAAGCACGTCATATCATGTATATTTTTTCTCAATCCCCAAATATTCGCACTGTACATTTTTTATGGTATAAAAAAAGTTTAAAACAACTGTTTAAAAAAAAACCTCCTTTTGTTCATATTGAAACAAAGAGCTTGAATGTTACAGACAGAAAAGCGCAAAACACCCAATCGTATATTTTTTCAGAATTTCGGTTATATAAGCAAAACAACAACCTTTTCCAAAAATGACCCCCTTTTTATCAAACTGGTATTTCCCCGAATACCTATAAGAAAAGCATAAATAATATCATCACACAATGTATTTTATACTTATGAAAGATGACTTGCATTTGTATATAAGATGGTTTTATAGTTTCCCATAGTTCTTTAAACTCTCTCCTTTAACTTGTGTCTTTATTATGTTATATATTTTATCTATAACAAGTGGCGAGACTTGTGCATGTTACATAAAGTACATTTTTTTATTAAACTTTTAGTGCGATCTATTCCTTATAATGCAATGAGTATCTGATGTACATTTTGTAAAGGAGTGTCTGGATGGGGTTTACAGAATAGATAATAAAGGGGCAAGATGAAAAATATGCCAAAAATAATAAAGAAAAAAGAAAAATAGGCAAAAGTATAGAATAGAGAATAATGGAGTGCTGAAATAAGAATAATAGAAAAGAAGAGTCAAAATTTATAAAGAATAGAGAAAAATGGTTTAAAATTAAAGAATACATCTGAAAGACACCCTTTTCAGACCCTCATAAATGATTTTTTTTTTAATATGTTAGAACAATGGAGAAGGCTATATAAAACAAAAATAAAATGACAGAATAAACGAGGAAGATATTATAACAATATCACGTAGATATGAATGAATGCTAAGCCAGAGATGTTTAGGTTAGATAAAGAGTTAACTTCCTTACAGAAGTGATTTTAACTTCTCTTATCTGCATAATAATCGATCGAGTGTTTTTGTACTTTTTTATCAGTAATATTCCATTTCTTTGAAGAAAAGGATGGGAAATTTTGAAAAGTGTAACGCGACCATTCAACAGGAAGTTTCTCTCATTTTGCTTATTTGTACATGAATAATTCTCCGAAAAATTAGGCGTGCGAAAAAAGTATCATTTCTACGCAGAAATAACATTGCTGATAATTCATACCTCCTTAATACAATATCCCTTTATAAACATCTCCATACGGCATTGGTAGGGTTTATTGACAGATAATATCTACCGACTAATTGAATGAAAAAAAAACCGGCAGACACGGAGAGGCAAGTTTATTTCTACAAACCCGTTACATTTTATGCTCTGGATTGTTGTAATCTACCATATGTATCATTAAGTAGTATTCTCGTGACTTCGTTCATAACCCAGAACTTTTGGCAAACTAGTTTCAATTGTTTTTTTGTCAATTTGTCAATGAGAAATGACAACTACATACAAAATATCACTGACTAATCTTAAGTTGACCTAAACACTTAAACACAAGCTTTAACGTCTAAACTATGCAAAGTTATTTATGTTGTGTCATAGATCAAACTTATTCGTTCAGTGTATATATACTTGTTTTTGTTTTTGTGTATTGTCCTTTTGGTCGAGTTAAGCCATTTCAATTGATATTTTATTGTGTGTCTTTTTATGTTGTAATGTTATACCACTGTTTCAGGTTAGGGTGAAGGTTGGCGCCTGTTAAAACGTTTAAACCCGCTGCATTTTTATGCACCTGTCCTAAGTCAGGAGCTTGTTGTTCAGTGGTTGTCGTTTGTTGGTGTGGTTCATAAGTGTTTCTCGTTTCTCGTTTTTTTATATAGATTAGACCGTTGGTTTTCCTGTTTGAATTGTTTTACACTAGTCTTTTTGGGACCCTTTATAGCTTGCTGTTCAGTGTGAGCCAAGGCTCCGTGTTGAAGGCCGTACTTTGACCTATAATTGTTTACTTTTTACACATTGTGACTTGGATGGATAGTTGTCTCATTGGCACTCACACCGCATCTTCTTATTTATATAAAGTTACAAAGCCTATGAACCATGATCATGGGGTGGGCCATATAATCTTCATGAAAATGAGAAATGCCAATCCTAATACAGCTGTATACCTAATATCATTGACTTACCATAAGTGGTTTGTCTTAAACTGACATAATCGTAAACTACAAGTATGCAGAAGTTTCAAAGTCAATAGACAATACAATGTAACTGAAGGGGCTCATTTTATACATGGAAATGAGACGTGCCAATACTAATACCAAATATCATTGACCTACCCCTAGTGGTTCCCCTTAAACTGACCTAATCACAAATTAATACAGTGTTGACGCCGCCGACGCCTCCAAACAGCGCCTAAGTCTTGCTTTCTCGGGTTCGTCGAGGCAGAGACATATGCAGAATTGTATTATATACTAGTCAACAAACGTAACGATACACAAGTTTGAAGTCCAATGTATCAAAAAATATAATCAATAGTAAAAACTGTTAAATTATCCAATGAAAAACATTCAGTTGCATATGATTAAAAGAATCTGACCAAATTGGAAAGTGAGAAAATACCGTGTTATTGCACATAGGGGTCACATTTATTTTTGCGGAAAATAATGACAAAAGTCGGCACTTAATTTCGAAGATTAGAATTAAGTATTCAAATATCTGCATAGGCATTCAAAATTTTAAGCAGGCCATGTTTAAGTTTAAAGTTTTAAATTCTGATATCGATTTTTGAATTTTTGGGTGAAAATACGATTTTTGAAATAACAAAAATTGCAACCAAAAAATCGCGTATTTGCCTTAAATCAATGGTTTTGATAAGAAAATAACACTCTGTAAATGTTAGACCAATTGGGCAATTATTTACCCTGGTACAGTGTATCCAATTTCATTATATATGGAAAATACCTTGTTTAAAGTGATGAAAGATGGTTGGTGTTAAATGGAAGAATATATATGATTGTAAGCATGTAAAACTTTATCCCTAAAATATTATGGGTAATAAACTTTTTTAAGCAATTTCTTATAAATTGCATATTTAGAACGTTATTGATCTCTTGTACATCTAGATTTAATTCTTGCAAATTTTAGGAATGTTCATTCATAACCTTTGACCTCAATGCAACCGAACCGCTTCGTTGGTCTTGTGGTAGCGTATTCGCTACGAATGCGAGGGGTCGCGGGTTCGAACCACAGCCGGATAAATCCAAAGACTTTGAAATTGATATTTGCTGCTTCTCCTCGAAGAAAGCGGCATTAAGGAGTGAGGTTAGAGCAAAGACTGTTCTACTCTGAATAATATGTCCGGGTAGGTGGTATGTCTTCATGTGGACAATTATCTTGTGAACTATCACGTTAAAAAATCCGACTCGGCGTGTCGGTCTAGTACAAATAAGGGTTAATATTCATGTAACTAATATCAACATGTTCTCGTCGTTAATATGAATTAATTTGC